ATCCCTTCTCCTCCATTCTCTTCTCGGGATCTTGGGCACGCATGCACACGTGCCCGGCGTGAGTTTTAAGCCACCTGGTCTCGGATGCGAACCTCAGTCGGCTACGTGGGAGTCCAGCGACATAGACATTACGCTAACTGCTGGTCCCATGCCTGCTCATTTTTGAGATTACAGCACAAATATCACTTCTAAGGATCCCTTTCCTGTTCCCCCAAACTAGATCAGGTTGCCCATGGGGTTTACTCTCATAGCCCCTTTCCTTTATTATTTTCATCACAAATTGTAATGATATATTTATTAGCCAGATTATTTAAATGTCTGTCTGCTGTATTGTACTGTAAATTCAGTGAGAGGCAGAGACCATGTCTTAACACTACTGTATTTCTAATTTCTAGAATATTTCTTGCATTTGGCAGGCACTCAGTAAATATTAAAGTAGGTGAATGAGTGAATCCAGGCCAAATATATTGGATTAATGGAAGCTTGTATATTGGATTAATGAAAACCAAAGCTAGAAAGGCAGCTGATGCCAAATCGCAAACGTTCTCAGTTCCATCCTGAAGTGTGAAGCCAAATTTATGAACAGGCCAGGTTGATGGTTGGGAGCAGTGAGCATCTGGGCTGGGTGGGGAAGGTATCCCCAGCCTGGGCTACAGAGACTCTTGAAGTCCAGATCAGAAGTTTAGTGGAAAGGCAGGTGCAGAAACCAGTTGTCAGGATGAAAGAGACAGTGGCTATGAGGGTATTGGGATTGTGGCCATAGAGCATTCATTTTAGAAGCTTAACTGGAGTAACTGAAGAGATTAAAGAAAAGGAGTTTTTAGAGGGAGACCTGTGGGTTTGGAAAGCAAGAGTGAAAGGATACAGTGTACGGCCTTAACACATAAAATGAGAAGAATGTAAAAGGCATAGAATCAGAAGGGGAAATCAGGGGAAAAAAAGTGTTTGAATTGAAGGCCTCTTCAACGTGGGGAAGTGGTTGACTCGAGGGCAGCTGGAAGACTGGTTTAGAGTAGAGGAACTCTGAAGCAGTGTACTTGATAGACCACTTCAGAGAGCCCAAGAGTGGTTACCTTAATAAGTAACCATTCTTCTTACTCCAAGCCTGATGGGAAGGTAAGAAGATACATACCAGGAGATGTCAAAACGTTCATGGAAAAATGCAATTAAAGTACTAGTTGATTTTGGGGCAAAAAAATAGGAAGTCTGTACATAGTTTTTTTTTTTTT